TCCACCCACTTCGGCCTCCCAAAGTGCTGGGATTATAGGTGGGAGCCACTGCGCCTGGGCTTCTTCTTTGTAATTTCTTATACTTTTCAAGGCTAAATTAAATTTAGCCTAAAGCTGCCTCCTTACATATTCTAAGTTTGGCCTAAAGGTTTCTTTGTACATAATGAACCATAGTGAACTGAAAACTAGCTGGATGTGTAAACAGTCTGCAACCTACTCTTACGTCAATCAACTGAGTTTTAGCCAATCAAAGGCAACCAACTGTTCAAACTGAGTTCAAATAAGGCAAATGCAGAGCTGTTAAGTATCAGCTGTTTCTGCACCTCGCTTCCACTTTTTTGTACGGTGGCTTTCCTTTTTCTGTTTCATAAATCTTCTTCCACCATGTGGCTGCACTGAAGTCTCTCTGAGCCTATTTGGGCTTGGGAGGCTGCCCGATTCACGAGTCATTCTTTGCTCAATTAAACGCTGCTAAATTTAAGTTGTCTAAGGTTTTTCTTTTAGTATCAATAACTTCTGCAACTATGATGCTTTACTTTTGTAATTAGAAATTTTTTTTTTCTTTTTCTTTTTCTTCTTTTTTTTTTTTTTTTAAGACAGAGCCTCGCTGTCACGCAGGCTGGAATGCAGTAGTACGCTCTTGGCTCACTGCAACCTCCGCCTCCTGGGTTCAAGCGACTCTTCAGCCTCAGCCTCCTGAATAGCTGGGACTACAAGCATACACCACCACGCCCGGCTAATTTTTGTATTTTTAGCAGAGACAGGGTTCCACCATGTTGGCCAGGCCAGTCTCAAACTCCTGACCTGAGGTGATTCACCCGCTTTGGCCTCCCAAACTGCTGGGATTACAGGCGTGAGCCACCACTCACGGGCAGAAACTATATTTAAAAAGTCACCACTGACCATTATCATCCCTTCAGAGAGAGCTGGGGAATGAGGGGAAGAAGAACTTGGGAGGAGAGGTGTGAAAAGGGATTCAGAAGGGTTTCCTAGGCAGAAAGCACTGCCTCTTCATGGGACACTGTCCTGGGGATGGTTAGGGTCATGAGGGACCCTGGGTGTTGTGGTGGAGGAGCAGCTGTGAGCGGGTCCAAGGGAAACACCTGCTGGTGCTCTCACTCCCAAGATGCCTGATTAAGCTAAGGACTTTCTTCATCCTACCCCAATAAGGAGGCTCAGTAAGCTGGCATCTGCCTGATGCACAAGAGGGTAGGGCAGGCCCGAGGCTGCCAGCCCCATGGCTTCTCTCTCAGATGTCTCCTTCTCCGACGAGCCTCTGCCATCCTCTGTTTCTCTTCCCACCAGAAAGCTTTCTTGCTTGTTAAGCTCCCCTGGGGACTCAAATGATCACAGCGTGTATCTTCTCTTCCTGGCAGGCAAATCCTTATTTTCCGCTGTCAGATTCTCAACTGGTCTGACTTGTGAGAGTGCCTGAAGTTCTTTCCCTGCTGTTTCGTTTCAAAGACAGGGTCAGGGGGAACCCTGGGGCAAAGTGTGAAAAGTGGCAGGGAACAGGCACTTTCTAACTGAGCCTTATTCACTTGGAGAATCTCAGGCTGGAGATAGTGTGTGCCTAGAACCCAGAGTTTCTAAGTGTTTCTTAGACTGACCCAAATCCTGAGAAGCTGGAAGGGGCATGGACCCCTGACCCAAGGGCTCTTGGTCATGGTGGAACTCTGCGGTCTATCAACTAACTGATGAGTTACATGTTCACTCAGCCTCCCTAGACCAGGAGTACACCAGGCATGGTGGTGGGAAATGTCCACACCAAAGGCTGTTGGCTTATACCTTCTTACCTCCCCTCTCTTGCAGATACTTAGGGAGATGGCGCTCTTTCCCCTGGCCCCTGTTTTGCCCTCACCTTTTTGCTCACTTGCTTCCCATGTTTCCCCATAGCCTTCTTTGCTGCATTCTTTCCCCCTCTCTTTCTCTATATTTTCCTCTGTCTTCATGCATAGTAGAGTAGGAGTTAGATTCAAATATTAACTAGCATCTATTAAGCATCTGTTATGAGCCAGGCACTGTGCTAGGCATGGGTGCATATATCATTAAATTTAATCACCATAACAATCCTGTGTGGTACACTATTATTACTCCCATGCTGTCATGGAAACAGAAGCCACAGTGGTTGGGTCCTGTCCAAGGTTAATGGAGGAAGAAGCAGGGAAGCTAGGATTCAGATTCAGATTTCACTATGTAAAGACCTGTTTCCATTATGCCACATCACCCCTCAGGTTTTCTGAGGTCTAGGTTGCTTCCTGTCTTTTCCTCTGTGATCTATCTTCCTTGCCATCCTCATGGGCACACATGGGATACCCCCCTCTCTGTATAGGCATCAGAGTCCACTCAAGTTTCCAATGGTCCTGTGGTCTCCACAACCTGGAGGTGCAGATCCATTAGAGAAAGGAGTGCAGTTCTGATTGGACATAAGCAACAGGCCCAAAATCACATCCCCAAATGCTCAGATCCAGCCTAGAATCCCCAGGGCTTTCCAGCCTTGAGCCATGGGTGGGAACTCTCTGAGATGCTATAACTTAGCCAGCAACTGTTCTCTCAAACTCTTCCCAGTCTGTTTATCAAAAGCTTTTGTTTTATTTTGTTTTTTGTTTTCACTGCTACCAGTACTTCCTGGTCTAATTTAGCCAGCATTGCCAGGTTTCTGATGCTGAATGGCTGCTTGATTAGTTGAATTTGGGGATAATCTAGGAAGGTACAGCAACAATGAGTACTATTTGGTGCCATCAACTTAGATTCCCGGGCCCAGATAAGATTTTATATAGGCTTCAATTCCTACTCATTTTCTCTCAGAAATCCAGTGCTTGACTGTATCATCCAAGGAGGCTTTGACATCCCTTTGGTTTACCCTCAAATTTGCAAGGGTTGCCTTGGAAATCTCAGTTGGGATCATTTAATGCTTATTTGTCAGCACATACCAGTAAGCTGGAATAAAAGAGAGCTTGTCTCCTGTTTCCTTCCCAAATCGGACTGCTCCCAGAAAGATCAAGGCAGGGAGGGGGTTGCTAGAAGCCCTTTGAAATCCTGGATAGTTCAATGCTTCTGAAAGAAAGCTTGGCAGGAAGCTGATCTAACCCCCAGTGTTTACAGATGGGGAAACTGAGGCTCAGCAGGATGTGACTTGCTCAAAGTCAAAGAATAAGTTAGCAGCAGAGACTGGACTAAAACCCTGGTCCCAACTGCCCCCACTCCATTTAAAAAAAAAAAAAAAAAACAGAAAGGATTTAGATTTGGGCTGTGAAGAGTCATAGCAAGTATCCAGTAAAGATCCAATAAATGAGTGAGCTTCCTTCTGGGTGCTCCAGCTGCTCTGGCTGAGCCTCCAACGTGCGGGATTTCTAGACTCAGGAGCTAACAAGAACCTTGGATGCTGAGCACCGACACCATGCCTTCCTCGACACCAGAGACATGTTACTAACATTCAGATCCAGTTTACATCACAAGGGCTGACTCAGCTCTCTTCTTTGCCTCATCAGAAGATTCAAACTGTCACTAACGTGCAACAGAGTCTAGGGGGCATACTCCTACTCTGTGGGGTACCATGCTGCCAGGATCTAGCCCTGTGTGTGGACTGGGATGGTGGCCACTGCAGAAAGGGAGACAAGTCTTTTCATGAGATATTAAGAGAAAGTTTGAGGCGTGGGATAATGTTGCTTGACAAGCATAGACAGGGCATGATAATACCCAGAATGGCATTAAAATTAAGTTTGTAAGGTTATGTTTCCTTCAGAAATATTTTTAAAATGCAAAATTACTCATAATTTTTCTACACAGATAACCCATGTCATCATTTTTCTTGAAAAAAAGAATTAATAATGCATGTAGGTAGAGAAGTCAAACATGACAGGAAGATTTAAAGTAAAAAGTTAGGCCAGGTGCGGTGGCTCATGCCTGTAATCCCAGCACGTTGAGAGGCCAAGGTAGGGGGATCACTTGAGGCCAGGAGTTAGAGACCAGCCTGGCCAACCCAGCGAAACCCCATCTCTACTAAAAATACAAAAAGTTAGTTGGACATGGTGGTGCACGCCTGTAATCCCAGCTACTCAGGAGGCTGAGGCAGGAAAAACGCTTGAACCCAGGAGGCAGAGGTTGCAGTGAGCTGATAATGCACTACTTACACTCCAGCCTGGGTGACAGAGTCACACTATGTCTCTAAAAAAAAAAAAAAAAAAAAAAAGTTAAAATCTCTCTGCGCTATTCCTTGCCTAGCCTCTTTTTTCCAAAGGTAACAGTTAACTGCTTCTCTGGTATGACTTGAGACAATTTTCTTGAATGTAACACGGTACTAGCATATATGTTTATTCTCTTATTAAAATTCTACACAAAGAAAATCATATTAAAGACTGTTCTGCATTCTGCCTTTTCAAGTAATGTAGGTTTTGGAGACTAGTATCTCTAAGCACACATAGAACTTCTCTATTCCATGTAATGACCACACAGTTCAGAAAGAATGATGTGGAGAATTTTTCTTTAAGACCTGGGAAGGAGATTAGAGATCTTGGAATTCAACCCTTATTTTCTGAAATTCAGAAAACCATGGTCCAAGAGGTAAAATTCCTTGATCCAAGGCACACAGAAAGTTAGACACAGAACTTGCAGTCCAGGTCCCTTTTCATTAAGCCCCACTTCTGCTACGTTCTTAAAAGAAGAAGATGTCTGAAGAGAATTGGGGAAATTTTAGCCTTCAAAGAACACCCCGTTTATTTTCCTCATCAAGTATATTCTTTTTTTTGTTTTGTTTTTGAGATGGTGTCCTGCTCTGTCGCCCAGGCTGGAGTGCAGTGGCACGATTTCGGCTCACCGCAACCTCCGTCTCCCAGGTTCAAGCGATTCTCCTGCCTCAGCCTCCTGAGTAGCTGGGATTACAGGCACACACCACCACGCCCAGCTAATTTTTGTATTTTCAGTAGAGACGGGGTTTCACCATGTTGGACAGGCTGATCTCAAACTCCTGACCTCAGGTGATCTACCCACCTTGGCCTCCCAAAGTGCTGCGACCACCGGTGTGAGCCACCGTGCCTGGCCAAGGGACTTATTTCCCTTGGAGGTGGACTAAGGAGCTTCCAAATCCACCTTAGGAACTCAGCCCAATTCTTTAATGGCTGAAATGAACTCCTAGTCTTCACATTTCTACTTCGATTTCTCAAGACCTCTTAACTGGAATTCACACACCCTAAAGCAAGGGAGGAAGAAAAGAGGAGAGTGGGGATGGGTGGGGATTTTGCAGTCTCTGTGTTCATTAAAAATAATGACTTACGGGGCTTCTCACTCCCCACTGTCCATACAAATTCAGGTCACCTTCCTACTGACATGGGAGGACCTAGGGAAACAATGACCTGGTTTCAGAACACAGGACACTTTCCCCTTAACCACCCAGGATGGCCATGGAATGGGAGTCCTAATCACATAAGGCACATTCGCAGTAAAAGGATGTCTAACCACCAGAAGGAAAGACTGGAAGATGGGCAAGACAGTTACCCTAAAAATGTCAAAGCTTGTCTTTGCTACAGAGACGATACTCTGTGTTGTTTCAAAGAGTAGAATATTGATGGATTAAAAGAAATTTCAGTGAGACAAGTTTTAGTATCTAAGGAAGAAACCCCTAAAGACGGAGGTGGTAGGGTGAATGGCTAAGACTGCAGGCTTTGGAATTACAGCCCCAGTGGTTGAGAGATCCCAGTTGGCTACATACCACTATGTGACCATGGGCAAGTGATGTAACTGTTCCAAGGCTGACTTTTCTGTCTCACAGAGTTGTATAGATCAAATGAAATTATATATATGTAAGTTCATGTAAGGCAGGGACCTTGTCCTTCATATTAACTGCTGTATACCCAGCCCCCAAGCCTGGGGTCTGGTGTATAATAAGTGCTCAATAAACATTAATGGAATTATTGAATTTGTTGGATCCTTAACAAGAGACAGATACTGGGACAAGCATTTTCATTCGTTTCAAACACATTTGTGGAACATCTACTATGTGCTGGGCTCATCATGGTAATCCTTTCTGTGATTACTGATACCATTATTATTATAGTTGTTTTGGTGGTGGTAGTGGTGGTGGTTGTCAAAAAGTTTGCTTCAGATGGTGGTGAATATCCCTATCATTGGAAATGCCTAGCTCATGTGGGATGACAAGCTGGTAGTATTGACAGGGGAATTTACGCACCTATGAAGGGTTTGGGGTCATATCCATATCCAAAATCAAAATTCTGATTTTTACAGAAATCTTGGGCTTGTTAGTACCACTTCATACTTTTGGTGGGGATATGACACTGTATGTCTGTATAAGATAGTGAGCATTACAGTGCTAATGAATAATTCCAAGGCCATATAAATGCCACAAGGTAGGCTAAACTCCTTTAATCCCTGTAGCATTATCTTTGGCTTTTTTAAGTCTGGTACCACTGTCCGAGCTAGATCTTAGAGTTGCTGCTCCGTGCCTGGGCCTGGGCCACACTATTCATCCGGGTGAAATGGAAAATTCTGTTCCAAACATGGACATCTGCCTTCCCAAAGGGGTTTAGGAAATCTCTAGTTGGTTGATTGAAACATTCAGTTTTCATCCTAGCTGTCTGGAGTAGGCACAGTCTGGTGGTGAAAGAGAACAGCTGTAAGGAGAGGATTTCCTTATAGTGAATCTGGAGGTCACCCACAACCTGTGAAAGCTCTGGGAGCTGCTTTTGGCTGCTCCACATCTTGGCCTTCCTGTCTGCTCTGCAGCTGAGTTTCCTTGCCATGGAGGGGGCACTCCCATGTATTTTGGCTGTAGGGACTCTGATTTCAAGATGTCCTAAAGAGTTCCTGGCTAAAAGCCACCTGACTTATTTCCCTTGGAGGTGGACTAAGGAGCTTCCAAATCCACTTTAGGAACTCAGCCCAATGTCTAAATTTGTAATGTTCTTCCCAGTACCTTCCTTGAAAGTATTCTGCAAGTTTCAATTCTCACTTTCTTCCTTGGAAGAAGGTATTACAAGTCCCATTTACCTGATCCTTAAGATTTATTGGTCAAGGGGCTACCTAAGGAACAGCCCCAGGTTAACAGCAGCTTAGCCACTCAAGCTTTCCCATTGGGATGGCAAGATCTTGGCTGAGCATCTTAGCATGAGGCCTATATTCTTTTCCCTTCTTTTGGCCAGTCCTTACCCTAGGAATTCATCCTCTGACTGCAAGGTTACTGCTTGTCTCTAGCCCCTGACCTCCTTTTAAAAACTCCTGACTGAGTTTTTAAATTTGTAATTCATCCATCTTTACACCAACATCTGTTGAATACCCTTTGTTTTTAGCCTCTGCCTTAGAGTCTGTATCCAATTTTGTCTACCTCAGATGCATCCATCCAGCCATCTTCTGGTGTCCCATTGAGGGCTGGCTTCAAGGGTGGGCAACTTGCGCTGTTGTATAGAGCCACACACTCAGAAGGAACCTGCACTTCATTTAATAACCTGCTATTGCCTTCTTGAAATTCTTAGTCGCTTTATCTTTAAGCTTGCGATTTGTTTAAGTGAAGTCTGATGGGACAACACAGCGTGAGCAGGGACAGAGAAGATGGGCACAATGCCACTCGTTGCTGCCCCATTTGCATACAGCATTCACGATGCCCCATGAGCAAAGAATTCTAGGAGCCCCACGATGCGTAAGAGTTCATCAAGACTTAATTACGCCCATAACCAAGTGAATATGCTGCCAGTCCCAAAGGGCCATTCTTTCTATTCAAACTAGAAATGGCTTCAAACGTGGAAAAAAAAGTTTTCAGAAACACAAATAATCTAGGAACCCTATCATATCCTTTCCTACCTATGTTGCTTTCCCATATTAGCCAACCACTCATGCTGAAAATGATGACACAGAAGGAAAGGGTAGGGTCACGTGTAGTCCCTTTTCGTTTCCTGGCTCATCTGAAAGCCTGGTAGAAAGTGCACATATGAAGTATGCATATAAAGTACACATATAAAAAAGGGAAATAAAAATAGTTCAGTTTATTTGGTGCAGCATTTCCACTGTTCTAGTAAGAATAAATACATATGCATGTAGGAGCTACAGAAGTATAAATTGTATAATTTTCATAATTCCTCATATAAGTAAAGTGTTCCTGTAAGTTCATTTAAAACTGGCACCACACAATATAAAGAACAGTAAAATCTATACTAATAATTAAATTTTTAAATTTTTTTATTTGCAATGACATTAAATAGCAAATACAAAGCACCATGTCAAGTCGAGAGAAAGAATGAAAGAAAAAAGCTTTATCTTTTAGGATCGTCAGCGACACTTCCTGCCTGCCTTTTCAACAAAGAGTCCTACATTTCATTTTGCGCTGGGCCCTGCAAATTATGTGGCTGGCTCCGATCCCATGGCTTTAAGACATGTCCACAAGCATTGAAAAGCTTGTTTCAAACCAGCACCATCCCAGGCCTTTTCCCAGTGTGACTTCCTTCTAGGCCTTGCCACATCCCTATCCCAAGGCTTCAATTGGGATCAATGGATATTAGGTGCCCCTTTGGTAAGATCAACAAAAATCTCCTAAACATAGCTCTCAGTAGATGGGAAAATGAAGGTAAAATAAAATGGCAGGGGCTTATCCAAGGTCACAAGGTATCCCAGGGACAGAGACACAAGCTCCTAGCCTTCAGGTCCAATGCCATGGTTTGTTGATTTCCATCTCTACTGCTGGCCTTGAACATCATTTGAAGATACCAGCAAAATCATTGTGTGTTATATCCCTTTGATCATACTTCAGCTAGGGCCACCACAGCCCCACAGGAACCAATGTAGGGCAAAAGGCTCTGCCCTTCAAAGGGTCCTACACAGAACATTCCAAGGCCCCAGGGGAGTCCTGTATCTTGTTCAATGTCAAGAAGAGTCCATCAACAGGCCAATACATGCTTCCTCTGTAGGCTCTGTAAAGATCAGATTCCTATGTCTCCCCAGGAAGGTCAGGCTATCTTTTCCAACCATTGTATCAGGATCACCTGAAATTCTGTAGAAACAGAATACTCCCCACCTATTTCTTTGAATTTCTTGGAAAATAAGATACACAAAAATCACATCCAGGGGCCCAGCACAACTGGTCAGATCCCTTCCAACCAAAAAGAAATCCCAGCCAGAAGAGACCACAGCCTGGAGCCGTTTGCAAATTGCCTGCACATCCTTCATGTGTCCCCTCAAGTCATCCAAACGGATTTTTAGACCAACATCTCTTAGCACATTCTAGCTGTCCCTTTGCTATTCTTTTGGAGGCTTCCATGTGGAGTACAAGGGTTTACTGAGCCTAGATTTACTCCAGAAGCCTCATAACCACCTCTTGTTTGGAGCAGCGATGCCCTTAGCAACACAGCTTAATTTTCCAGGTACTTCTGGGCTAGTAGTCCAACTTCCTCCTAAAACCCAGTCCTCTCTCTCCATACACAGCTTTGTGTAGAAGGAGGACAGATCCTTGATTAAATATATTCAGACTGCCCCAGAACCTGGAGCTTGTTGGGCTACTCAGCTGGTGCTGCAACCCTGGTGGAAGGGTCAACTGCCTTTCTTCCAGAATAAAACTCCAGTTGCTGGTCTCCTTCCTTTTAGCAGGCACACAGGGCAAAAGATATCTCATGGGCCATGCTGCACTGTTCTGGCTCTAACAGCAATACCAGTGATCATCTTTCCTTTCTTTCTAGTCAATGAGAAGTATAAATACACATTAAAACTTTTCTGTTGCCATTTAAAATAATCTTCATGAAAATATTTTCACGAAATGTGAAAAATGCTGCTGACATAAGTAAACGGGATTAAAAGCAGGATACCTGATTGTATACACAGAAGGACCTCAGCTTTGTAAACTGTTTACATTTATTCACAGAAAAAAATACAGGAAGGAAATACACCACAATGGGTTTCTAACTGGATTACAGGTAATTGCGTATTTTCTTCTTTAAATGTTTTAGTATTTTACAAAAGAAAATACATATTACAGGCATTGATTATTTTGTAATCTAACCAAAAAGGATATTTTCTTATTAGCTAGGACTTCTGAAATAGTCATCACTGATTTTATACATAGCCCTGAAGGAAACAAACGTAAGGCTTCTACTTCTCCCCAGAGTGACTTTTAAGTGGAACCATCCTCCTAGCTCAATTTTCTATACAGGATACAGATTTTGGTTTTGACAAAACTGCTTTGCTTATAATCACTCTTTTCTTTCTTTTGTGAAACTTGACATCTGGAAATAGCCAGTTAGAGCCTTGAATCAAAGTATTCTATTTCTTTCTCCTGGTTACCAGGCCTGAGATCTCCCAAAGGAATTTCCAAAGTGCAAGGCTTTGGAGCCCACCTGAAACTGGGCTCAAGTGAGACAGAGGACCAGAGGATGCTGACTTTGTGTATCAAAGTATGATGACAAGAACATTGTCTTTGGAGAATAATGGCTCCGGAGCCTTGAGCTTTTTCTCTGCAAAACTGATGATCATATTTCTTTTATATAGATTATAAAGATTTAAAGAGACAAGGTATGGAGGATGCCTAACAGCACACACAATTAATTATTAATATAAGTGGTGAGCACCGGAGAAGGCAGCAGAGGGGAAAATCTGCTATTGCTACTTTCCATTCTCTCACTGTTGAAGTTTTCCAGTGTGAGGTGAGGATGGGAGTGGTGGAGCTGTCCAGATTTCAGCCCCACCCTGACTGGGCTGGCCTGACCAAGGACACATCTTTGATTTCACCGTGGAAATGTAACCATGTCTAGGGTGGAGGGCAGGCAGTGCTAGCCACTGGCTGGCAGCCCTAGAATGTCCATGGATAATACTGACTAAATATAAGACTCCATTACCACTCCAAAGTCACCGCATTAGCAATCCACAGTGCCTCTTCCTCCACCCATGGCTGCTCTGCCCTTTAACTATTCATGGGGCAGCAGCCAGTATGCCAGAGACTTACGGGAACTAAAAGACTCAAGCTGTATCTTATAATGGATTGAAAGAGTCAATTTTTGCTGTACTACAATTTTATCTGCTGCTATTACTGCTAGTATTGCTATTAGCACCACCATTCCTCCAACTGCTGCTACTACTACTCTATTAATCCTTTAAGTCTGTAAACTACTTTACAATTTACAAAGTACCTCCGTAGCCTGATCAAAAATGAGACTCGGCATGGCATTCCGAGAAGACAGAGGTACATTGGTACTAGAAACCTCAGAGGGAACAGAGAGATCTGCATTTAAGAACAGAGCAGAATTGCCAGGATTTATTTTTACCCCCCTAACTGCCTGGGCTTCATACACATTCACCATCCTCTGCCACACCCAGTCACTCTTCCACCCCTACCCTGCTCTAACTGTCCATAGACAGTTTAGGCAACCTCACATGTTAGGAACTAGGAGGAACTTCCCTTTATTTGGTCGGAGAAGGTTGACCATGCCAAAATCTCACCAAATGGGGCAAGAGAAGAGAATGCTTTTCAAGTTGCCTTTGCCAACCTCTCCCACCTTCTCACAGGAAGGCCCTGGCACAAGCCAGACTCTTCCTTTTTTAAGAGACTTTAAATATTCCTGCGCCTAAATTAAAAATTTTTTAAATGCCTGATTTTGGCCCTTATCCCCAAAGGGAATGTTGGAATGTACACCTTCTTTGCCCAAGAGAAGGGCCCCCTTTTCCTTCACCCCCTAGCAGCCAGCTGGCGAGAGGACTGATGCTACACATAGTGAGAAAGGGGCAGGGAGGAGAGGGAGAATGCAGCATAGTTCAAGCCCAACCATGAACCAAGCTTCCTTTGAGATTGGGATCTTCACCTGGCAACCAGGAGCCCTAGCAGAGCTCAGAAAGAAGAAAGTGGCATTCTGGAATCCATTTTGCTCAAGATGCTGAAGGCATGGTATCAGACTCCCCTTTGCTACTGGGGCCAAAAAACTTGGGGAAGATCTTACCTACAGGGATGCGGTTAGTTGGGGAAAAGGCGAGGACAAGTCCTGGTGCTAATGCTACCTGAGAGCAGACAGGTGCGTGGCCTCCCTCGGGACCCACTCGCAGGAAAAAGCTGGGCTAGCGGTGGTTGCGGGGGCCCACCCCGGGCGCTGCTTCCGCATTTTGGACCCAGGTCCACTGGTGAGCAGTAACAGCAGCAGCCATAGCCAGGCCAGCGGGGTCCCCTTCTATCTATCCAGTCATTTCTAGGTGAGATTTACGATGTATGCTAGCGAAGGGACAAGAGATGACTATGGCCTTTGAAAACCATAATCCTGAAAGTCACACTTTTTCCAAAGCGCCTCCCTCCCAGGTTCTTCCCAGGAGCAGCACAGTCACAGCAGGAGAATCTGCACCGCGGGAGCGCTGCAGTGGTCCGCGGAGGGACCGGGCCAAAGACCTGGGACCGCGGGGCGGGGGGCGCGGCGCGCGGCGCGCGGCGCGGCTCACCTGCCAGGCTGTTGTAACAGTCGATCTCGATGGCTTCCACTGTCTTGCTCTGCTCCTCCGAGAGGCGGCCGGGCTTGGGGGCCCCAGCCGGGGAGGCCGCGCGCGAGTCCTGCTCCCGTTCCCCGGGGGGCGGCAGCAGCCCCTTCAGCTCCAGCAACGCCCGGTGGTATTTGCCGATGGCTTCACGGAATTTCTTGTCCTTGTAGCACTGCGCCCCTTGGCTTTTGAACTCGTGCGCTCGCCGGATGAGCTCGGCCGGCTCGGCCGCCGCCCCAACCTGGCCCCGCGCCGGGGCTCCTCCGCCGCCGCCCGGGACGCACAGCGGCGGCGGTGGCCGCTGCCCCTCTCCGGCCGCTGGCGGGCTCGGGTTCCCCTTGGCCCCAGACGCCGAGCCCTTTCTCTCCATTCGGCCGCCGCCCCGGCGCCTGGTGCGCGCCGCGATCTGCCCGCCGCCGCCGCCGCCGCCGCGCCTTCCTGGGTTTAAAAGCCGCGGGCGCCGGCCCCGCGCCTCGCAGGCTTCGTGGCGGCCGTGACACCCCGCGGCGGTCTGGCGCCCCGCACTCCCATTCTCCCCGCTGCTGCCAGAGGCTGCTCCCGCCGCCGCCGCCGCCGCCGCCTCGGACGCCCGCCCCTCCCCCGCCTCCCCGCTCCACGCCGCCCGCTCCCGCCCTCCTCCCTCCGCAACCTGCGGGCGGCGGGGGCCGGTGCTCGCGGGCCCGGGGCTAGCGCTGCGGGGAGACCGTGGCCCCGAGTGGGGTGGCGGGGATGGTCGCTGACCCGGAAGAAGCTTGGCTGGCCCAAAGGAGGGGAGGATTAATGACAAAGACGGCCCCGCTTTTTCCCATTCAATCCCGCTCTCCGAGGCGCGCCTCGTCTGAAAGGCGGCTGGGTGGGGGGGTGGAGGTGTAGGGGGAAGGGGAGTGCGTGTGTGTGTGTGTGTGTGTGTAGGGGTGGGGGCGGCGGCGACGAAATGCGTGCAGAAATAGATTTCTTAACTACAAGAAAAGGTGCGGCGGGGAACAAGGGGCGCAGGCGCAAGCCGTAGCTTTTAGTTCTTTGCAGTAAGGTGTTAATATTTTTAAGGGGGCAGGGCCTCTTTTTGGTGGATCCAGGTTGTCGCTGAGGTGTGTCTCGGTGTGTGTGGCCGTTGGGGCGTCCAGAACGCCGCGTGCTGTACAGCGTGTGGGGCGCCGTATTCTGGGAGCCTGTGTGTGCGTGCGCTGTGTATGCGCAGCTGTGCAGAATGAATCACAGACATCAGAGATGGAGAGCACCTGTTACTGTGGGTCATCGGCTTGGCGTGTGTCCGGTCTAGTTTCCATTTACAGGACAGTTCTGTGCCCTTCCTCAGGAGGTCCCATTCCTTTCTTCTTTTGGTCAATTCAGAGTGTCAGCTGTCTACTGGGAATTTGCTAAGGCTAAGAGGCAAAGATAGGCAAGTCACTCCCCTGACCTCAAGAAACTCCCAGTCTACAGGCAAAGATACACCACCAACCGGGAGAGTCTCTGGACCAGGTACAGATGGTGTCTGTCACTGGGGAGGAACGAAAAGTGCTGTGCAGCCCTGAGGAGGGGAGGGAGAGGTAGCTTTTTGAGTAGTGGTAGATCAGGAGGCTTTATGGAGGAAATAGCATTTGAGGACCTTGAAGCCTGAGTAGGATTTGGCATGAGGAAATAGAAGGAAGTGGCATAGCCGGAGTGAGGAAATCCAGCGGAAGTCCTGATGTTTGAAATCTCAGGTGCATTTAGGGCATAGTGGTTTGATTTTATGGCCTAATGAGAAGTAGTAGGAAATGATTGGGTTGCATTATGGGGGCTTTTGGATGAAGAATTTCGATCTGATTTTGGAGGCAATGGAGAAGCCTGACATATTTTTTTAGTGCCCTCCCCTCCTTAATGTTAAGAAAAAAAAAAAAAAAAGATTCTAGAGCACCGGTTGTCAGAGTGCTGTTCACAGACCTGCAGTGTCAGCATCACCTGGGAAACAGTCAGAAATGCAAATCCTAGGATCCTACTCCAGACCTACGAAATCAAACTCTGGGGATGGGTCTCAGTTAACCAGTATATTGGTTCAGATATGCTGCTTTAAAACCTTGCTATTCAAAGTGCAGACCTTGGGCCAATATCATCAGCATCACAGGAGAACCTATCAGAAATGCAGAATCTGAAAATCCCATACCTACTAACCCAGAAGCTGCATTTTAACGAGCGTACTGGGTGGTTTGTTTACCTATTAAAGTGTGAGAAACACTGCTCTAGAGACGTTGGAAAATACAGTAAAGTATAAAGAACCCCCCAGTCTATACACAGTTGTATTCTTTGTTAATATTTTGATGTAATTCCTACCAGTTGTTTTCTAGGCATCTATATTTTTAAAAAGTGCTCTTTTAGCAAACATAAGTAGTATGGAACAATATACACAATTCATTTACTGTTTTGTTGTTGTTGTTTTCTTTTCTTTCTTTCTTTCTTTTTTTTTTTTTGAGTCAGGGTCTTTCTCTGTCACCCAGGCTGGAGTGCAGTGGCATGATAATTGCTCACTGCAGCCTCAAACTCCTGGGCTCAAGGGATCCTCTCAACTCTCACCTTATCCTCGTGAGGAGTTGCAACTATAGGTACACACCACCACCCCTGGTAGATTTTTTTTTTTTTTTTTTTTGTAGAGACAGGGTCATGCGATGTTCCCCAGGCTTGCTTCCTGGTCTTTTTACTTTACATTATATGTAATTAAATATTCTTTTAAAACCTCATTTTTAATATTCTGTACAATATTCCATTGTAAGTGGCCAGGTGCAGTGGCTCATGCCTGTAATCTCAGCACTTTGGGAGGCGGAGGTGGGCAGCTCACCTGAGACTAGAAGTTCAAGACCAGCCTGGCTAACATGGTGAAACCCCATCTCTACTAAAAATACAAAAACCAGCCGGGCGTGGTAGTGGGTGCCTGTAATCCCAGATACTTGGGAGACTGAGCAGGAGAATCGCTTGAACCCGGGAAGCAGAGGTTGCAGTGAGCCCAGATTGTGCCATTGCACTCTAGCCTGGGTCACAGGGGGAGACTCCATCTCAAAAAAAAAAAAAAAAATTTCCATTGTAAGTGTACCGTAGTGTACCTAAGCATTCTTCTATAGTCAGGCAGATTTTGCTATTATAAATAACACTGAGATAAAAATAATAGATACCACCTCCATATAGTATTTACATTGTGCCAGGCATTGGGTTAAGCACTTAACATATAATAACCCACTGAATCTTCATAATAACTTAGTGAAATCAGTGCTATTGTTGTCCTCATTTTAGACACCAAGGCACAGAGTCTTGCCTGAGATTACACTGCTAATGAGTAGTGGAGCTGGGACTTAAACCCAAGAAATCTGGCTCCAGAATCTATGCTCTTAACTATCTTTATACTTAAATTTTTGTCCAAATTTATTTTTTCTTACAAAACATTATTTCAAGTTTTAATAAAGTCTCGAAGCACATTGTCAACTTGCTTTTCAGAAAGATTGTACTAACTCGTGCTCCCGTCAGCAAAGTGCTAGTTTCACCGCCTCCTTGCCAACACCAAGGGTGAGCTCTTAAGAAATATTTTCTAATTTGATAAATTAAAAGTATATATAGAATTAACTGAGATAGCTCTAATTATAAAGGTGAAAAATTTTCACATATACAGTTGTCATTTATAGAGAACCTAGGGCTTTTATTTGGACACAATTTTAGTGTGCTAAATTATATCTTATATTTTATATTTCTTTACTTTCCTAAATGCTTTGACGTTTTTCATCTCATTTGATCCTCACATTATTCCTGGAGAAGGTAGATGATTCTCTGCCCACACAGTGCATTTGCAGTGGTATCTTACAAGTGAGACATCATATAAGTTCAGTGGTTAAAAGATTCTAGACTCAGACAAGTGTTAGCTGGAATTCTATCTTGACTATTTCCTGGACAAGTTATTGAACTTCTGAAAACTTAATTTCCTCATTCATTAAATAGGACTACTACTTATTTCATAGGGTTGTTGTGAAGCATATCATAAGTGCTCGACAGATAGTAACTTTAATTATTGCTCATTAAATCCTGTCATTATTGGATCCCATAAGAATGTAATGACAGAACTCCAGTAAATTAATAAATATTTGCCAACCGCCGGCTCTTTTTACTTTAAGGTATTGCATCAGGTAGAGCAAAGAGAAGAAATTGGAGGTTGGGCACTCTGAATTTTTGTTGTTACCAGTCCCTAAAATAACTTAGGACAGGCTACAGGAGGCAAATGTTGGATAAAGACCCAGGCCTGGGATTTGGCTCCTGTCAGAAATAAGACATTAATTGGGTCACAGTGGTCACAACCATTTAAAGGTAAGAAATACTGACATGCCAAATTGCTTTATTTTCCCACTGTGTGCTGGCTTAATGGTACAGTATCTCACTCTTAGATTTTGGGTTTGAGGACAAGGCTATGAGAAACATGTAACCCATGTGGTACCACCCTGTGTGTGAGGCAGAACTCAGCACAAGAGCTTAGTAGTAGGTCTGATAAAGGCAAGCATGAACGAGGAAGGGAGGGAATAGTAAGAGCGGTAGCATGGAGTGAGAGTAGAATTACCATGCCCATCTGTCCCGCTCCACAGAGTTGTCTGTGTATGTCTAGAATTGTTCTGTTTGCTTGTTGTTAGTATGCTTCTGTCTCTATTTAAGCCACTCATTGGTAAACGTGTTCTGGCTTCCCAGAAATGGTCTTCTCCCTTCAAATGGAATTAAATAAATGCCAACAAGAATTTCTTAAACATTCTTTCATTAACCATTGGCCATATGCAGAGCACTATTTTAGGAAGTGAGAAAAGACCCAAATGACAGAAAATCTGAGCATGAACTTAAGAGTCAGAAACTCAGTGCTTCTCCATGTATGTTTATAGCAGCACAGTTCACAATTGCAAAGATGTGGAAGCAACCTATGTGCCCATTGACTAATGGGTAGGTAAATAAAATGTGGTATGTATACACCATGGAGTACTGCTCAGCCATTAAACGGAATGAAATAACGTCTTTTGCAGCAACTTGGATGGAGCCAGAGGCCATTATTCTAAGTGAAGTAACATAAGAGTGGGAAACCAAAAAACATATGTTCTCATATATAAGTGGGAGCTAAGCTATGAGTATGCAAAGACATACAGAGTGGTATAATGGACTTTAGAGACTCAGAAAGGGGAGAGTAGGGAGGGCCTAGGGATTAAAAAAACAAACAAACTCTACATTAGGTACAATGTGTAATAGATACCACCTCCATATAGTATTTACATTGTGCCAGGCATTGGGTTAAGCACTTAACATATAATAACCCACTGAATCTTCATAATAACTTAGTGAAATCAGTGCTATTGTTGTCCTCATTTTAGACACCAAGGCACAGAGTCTTGCCTGAGATTACACTGCTAATGAGTAGTGGAGCTGGGACTTAAACCCAAGAAATCTGGCTCCAGAATCTATGCTCTTAACTATCTTTATACTTAAATTTTTGTCCAAATTTATTTTTTCTTCGGTGATGGGTACACTAAAATCTCAGAATTCACCACTATACAATTCATGTAACAAAAAACTACTTGTACCCCAAAAGCGATTGAAATAAAAAAATACTAAAAATGTAAAAAAGCATCTCAGTGCTTCTCAAACTTTAATGTGTATATGAATTGCTTGGAGACCTTATTAAAATGCAGTTTTCTGACTGTTAATTTAGGCTGGGGCCCAAGATTATGTTTCTTTTTTTTTTTTTTTTTATTTTGAGACAGAGTCTCACTCTGTCACCCAAGCTGGAGTGCAATGGCATGATCTCAGCTCACTGCAACCTCTGCCTCCCGGGTTCAAGCGATTCTCCTGCCTCAGCCTCCCGAGTAGCTGGGACTACAGGCATGTGCCACCATGCTCAGCTAATTTTTTTGTATTTTTAGTAGAGACGGGGTTTCACTGTGTCTTGATCTCCTGACCTCGTGATCCGCCTACCTCGGCCTCCCAAAGTGCTGGGATTATAGGCGTGAGCCACCGCGTCCCGCCCCAAGATTATGTTTCCAACAAGCTGTCAGGTGCTGCTGATATTGTTGGTCCATGGACCACATTTTGAAGAGCAAATGTTTAGAGGGAAGGGAGTGTAGGATACAGTAAATTCCTCTTCAAAGTTTAGCCTGTTAACTCCCTTTAAAATTCAAGAGGAAGAAAAATTGTTAAGTACAATGAGCTCTGAGTTCCTCTTCAAAGAACCAATATGTCAGTATGTTTAGCTTCCCTGTTCTTTGTTTTCCATTTTAAAGTTTAACTTCCTTGTTCTTTGTGCCTCTTTGACCCTAGTTTCAGTAAAGAACCCCCTCCTAGCCGCTGTCACCTCTTTTGTCTGTAGTCATCCTTAGTCACCTGTTCTGTCCTTAGTCATTCTTAGTCACCTGTTCTGTAACCATCCTTCCCAACCTACCAGCAGAAACTACTCACCCTGCCACTCTGGCTTGTACCTTCACTCTCTTTAAAACAGGCAATTGGAATTAGCTTAGACTGTGCTCTTGCCATTGCTCCATCCATGAGACGCATCCTTCTATAGAATTAAGTTGCCTTGCTGAGAAAACTTTTGCCTGAGTGCTATTTTCACTTGGTGGCACCGAGCATTTACTTCCAACAGGAGGCTCAATACCTTCCCTTCTTTCCTAATCTTCACCTTTTCCCAGAGAGGGGTTGTTTACAGATTGACCAGATTCTAGAGAATCAATTGATCCATGTTTAACATGAACAGAGTTATGAACCTCCATTCAGCTTTCTCTTAATGCAGCAGGAATAGGTAAGCTGAATCAGAGCCTTCCCTTGGGATCTGGCCATATTTTCTCTTCCTCAAATGCATAGCTAAGTGTACATTTTTTGCTTGCATCTTGTTTAATGTGGCAGGAAAGAAAGTGAGATCTTGGTATGTCACAGGGAGACGAAGGCCCTTGTGGGCCTTTAGTATAGGCTGCTTGCTCTAACTTTGTTTTTTTGTTTTGTTTTTTTTTTTGGAGACCGAGTCTTACTCTGTTGCCCAGGCTGGAGTGTAGTGGTGTGATCTCGGCTCACTGCAAGCTCTGCCTCCCCTGTTCAAGCAATTCTTGAGCCTCAGCCTCCCGAGTAGCTGGGACTACAGGCACATGCCACCACACCCAGCTAATTTTTGTATTTTAGTAGAGAGGGACTTTCACTATGTTGGCCAGGCTGGTCTCAAACTCCTGACCTCAAGTGATCCGCCCACCTCAGACTCCCAAAGTGTTGGGACTACAGGCGTGAGCCACCGTTCCTGGCCTCTAACTTTGTTTTTGAAAGAGAGTTCTACACTAAGAAATTGGGCATTTATTCAGGTAACTATAAAGTGATATTTTAATTTCTCATCTGTCAGTGGCACATGCATATATGGATTCTTCATGAACCTCATGAAGGAGAAAGATGACTGGGCCACGTGGCAAGTTTCTAGTACTCATGGTACTTTGGCCCAATGTCATCAAAACCTGTCTCTTCTATCCTAACAAGCTAGCCTTGAACATACCCCAGTGAATCCTCTAGATGCTCATACCACTAGCGGAACAGCTCATTACTGCTGAGATATGCTGGAAGATTTCCTAGAGAAGTGTGTGGAACTGTTTTGAAGGAAAGACCTTTGCATGGTCAACAGTAGAAGGCACAATGTTTGTTTTCAGGCTTCAAGCATTGTGCCTGCCCCACTTCTGGATCTTGTTTCTGCTTCTTGGAGCCTTTGACTCTTCTGCTACCCACTGGTCTTGGAAGACCAGAGTCCCCTTTCTCTCCACACGCACTCTGGAGCTTGCGTACCTTCTAAACAGATGGCTTGTGCTGCTTTGTCTCTTCCTTCAGCTCAATTTCTTGAGCATATGTGAGACATGTATTTGAATATCTTTTGTACTAAGCTAAGCTCTTCAGGGTTTAGTCACATGATAACCAAATCAAAGCTATTTTGGGGATGTTTTTCTAATTGCATCAAACTTAAAATTTACCTGACAAAATTATAGCATTTTCATTATCAGTTGTTATCCATATTCAATCTTCAAATATTCCTCTACGGGAAAGCAGGAGATTTTTGAGTACTGTGTGTCCAGATGTAGCTAATGTGAGATTCATATTTTCATTCATTCTACCTTCTGCCCACAACCCCAACCCAACAACAGATTTCTCTATGATTCCAAAGTCTGGTTCAGCCTGACCTTATTTAGAAAAATAAGCCCTCTCTACCTATCTCCATTGTCTCCTACCACCCAATCCATTCTCTGACTGCCTCATCTCCAGTATCAATTGAAGCCCTCCTTGGGGCCATGATATCATTTATTTGGATCAGCTACCAACCTTCCTTAGGACACTCTTCTTTCCCCTGTTCCATGTGGTCGGGTGGAACTGTCAATCATGGTGTCCTCTAGCTCCCTGCACTGCCCCTGTCACCCCGCCACTTGCTAGTACCTATTCCAGGCTTGAGCCCATCGTGTTATTCTATCTTCCTACGCCATAGTGATTGCTTTCAGGGAGAAGCACATGGACAATCAGAGTTTTCTCTGAGATTTATATATATAGACATTGGAAGAGAGAAATTCTTTTTTCTATTCTTTTATACTTATTAAAACATAGTTTATTAATTTATTCTTAACTTTGTATTATGGACAAATTTAAACATATACACAAAAAAGAGTGGCATAATGAATCTTTAAGAACCTATCACCCAGCTTACACAGTTATCAACAACCAATGTTTATTGCCATATGTTTAGTTTTCCAGATGTACTATTCTTATATCTCTATGCCTTTGTACTTACCGTTTCCTATGTGTTTCATGTTTCTGTATTTCTCATTTGCTTGCTCTTAGAATATTAGGTCTTCCAGTCAAAGTCACCCAGATTTGCCAAAAGAGCTGGCACAAATGTCACTTCCACTATGAAGTCCCACTGACTTCCATATACAAGGTTGGTGTTCATTCTGCTATGTTCCGGTAGCTCCCTTTTCATGCTTTTATACTGCATAGCACTTATTTATTCAACATTCATTCAACAAACTTCTATTGAAATATTTCACTGTTTTAGGTGTTGGGGATCAATGAATAAAAAAGGCAAAAATTGTCACCTTTGTAGAATGAGGGAAGACTGAAAATAAACATCATAAATAAATAAATAACATAGGCTGTTAGAATGTGATAATTGCAGTGGGAAAATAGCTTAAGTGGAATTGGGTGTGTGTGTATGTCTTCACATTTTAAATAAGGAAAATAAGATAAGCCATACTCATTACACTGCATAATGGTTATCTGCTTGTTTTTTTGTCTCTACAACTAGACTGTAGCTATTTGAAAGCAGGGATTGTGTCTTATTCTTTTTGTAGCCAAGCACTTAGTATATATATTAGCAAGCATTCTGTAATGGTTGTGGAATAAATGGAAAAAACAGAAGAATACAAGACACCAACTCTAAATACTGTTGGTGTCAAGGAAGGTTTTTTTTGTTTGTTTTTTGTTTTGTTTTTTTGAAATGGAGTTTCACCCTGTCACCCCAGGCTGCAGTGCAGGAATGCCATCACTGTAACCTCCACGTCCCGGGTTCAAGTGGTCCTCCCACCTCAACCTCACAAGTAGTTGCGATTACAGGCATGTGCCAGTATGCCTGGCTAATTTTTGTATCTTTAGTAGAGATGAGGTGTTGCCATGTTGGCCAAACTCCTGACCTCAAGTGACCCACCTGCCTCTGCCTCCCAAAGTGCTGGGATTACAGGTGTGAGCCACTGCACCTGGTCTTTTTAATTTTTTTTAAGGATAGTATAGGTACATGGGAAAAAATTCAAACAGTACTCTACATAATGGAATATATATTAAAAATACTACGTGTTCCTTCGCCCCGGCCCCAGCCCTCCAAAATCCTTCCCAATGGCATCCACTCTTACTTGTTTTTTATGTATCACTCCAGAGATAGAGATTATCTGTCTCTCTAGCTTTCAATGTAATATATCTTCAATAATAAGTATTATCTTGGAAATCACTATATTTCAGTATACAGAACTGCTACATTTTAAAATATAGCTATATAGTATGTGTTTTTATGAGTGCATCAGAATGTATTTCATCAGGCCTCAGTCGAAGGGTATTTAAGTAGTAAAAAAGATGTTTTGGTGAACCACTTAACTAGTTGAAAAGTTAGGTTGCAGTGTGACTCTGATGCATCAAATCTTTCATATTTAACTAAGTCAGTAGCTTACCTGTTGGGGAGAAGGCCAGTCTCTACACCTCTGTGTGTATCACTTAATTTCACCCATACCCATGAGGTTGTTATTCCGAGGCTCAACTTAGAAGAAGTTCGAGGTTTTCAGAGGTTCTGTAATTTAACCAAGGTCACATAGCTTGGAAGCAGGTCTGCCTTACCCCAAAGACCATGCTTTTTGCCTCCCTTAGAGTTTTTGGTATTCCTGAAATAAAGAGGATCTCTGCAGAATGCCTGGTGGATGCTCCTGGATGATCTTTGATTCTTTCTAATCTGAAGATGCTCCAACACTGTGCCACCCTCTGCTATCCATTCCCTGTCTTTTTCTGTTGGCTTTATGTCCTGGTTGACCTCTGCACCAATTGGGCTCTTCACCCTCTTACTGAGGGTCAGCTTTGGCAAAAGGGAGGCACCAACGTGAGACTGGAGGATGAGAGAAGAGAAATTAACATTTTATTCCCACTTTCTCCCTGCTTTGACACCAAGGTTTTTGGCAGGGGTCAATTTGTGTCACTATTATAACTGGGTGGGAGGGGGGCCTTCCTCCTTGGGTCTACCTCTTAATGGGTTCTGGTAATACAATTTATTTCTCCCTTCCCTTCGCTTTCCCTCCCCTCCCCTCCCCTCCTCTTCCCTTTCCTTCCTTTTTTTTTTTTTTTCCTAAATATCTTCCCTCTCTTGCTAGTCTCTGGATACTTCACTATTCTTTCTTGGTTTCTTTAACCATGCCCACACTTCTATAAATAGTCTTTGTATTAAAAGTCTCTTCAGATGAACCATTCATTAGTTAGATTTTTGTCTTCTGTCATAATCCTATTATAAATACTATTTTAAGATATAATCTCTTCTAGGAGAACTTTAAAGACCTGATGCTATAAGGTTCAGTGACATTAATCTCTAATGGTAAAATTTCAGGCTAACTAAGGGTAATTGGAACTTTTAACTCTCAAATTCTATCTACTTGGCAGCAGCCTATTTGGCCAAGTGCTAAGACTGGCTCTGCTGTTGGTTATATGTAGTTTTTTTGGTTATTGTCTTGTTCTTCATAACTTTATATGAAACTCTGATCCTATAACCTTGGGTTTCCATTAGCAGGCATTTAACATTTTAGCAGTCTTTTTTAAATCCCCCAATCCCGCCAATCACACTACTTTTTTTCCTACAGAATTGCTAGAGAGATACTTTAGTTATCTATAGCTGTGTAACGCATTATCCCCAAACTTAGCAGCTTAAAATATCATTTATCATTTTCAAACAATCTCACGGTCTCTGTGGGAGTCTCTTAGTTGCATAGTTTTGGTTAAAGTTATTTTAAGATGTTGCAGTCCAGTTGTTGGCCAGGACTAACGTTATCTGAAGGCTCCACTAGAAGAGATTCCAGCTCCAGCCTCAGTCACATAATTGTTGGCAAGCCTCTGTTCCTTGCTGGCTATTGGCTGAACATCTTGGCATCTTGATGATCTTCTGCATCATAGGCCCTGAGTGTCCTCACAATATGGTACCCAGCTTCCCCCAGAGGAAGAGATCTAAGAGATCCAAGAGATCCATAATATTTTAAAACTGAGTCTTGGAAATGATATATCATCACTTCTGATGTACAGTTGACCCTTGAAGAATGCGGGGGGCAGTTAGGTGTGCTGACCTCTGTGCAGTCAAAAATCCTCATACAAGTTTTGACTCCCCCAAAACTTAACTAAAAGCCTACTGTTGAACAGAAGCTTTATGATAACACATAAACAGTTGATTAACACATCTTTTTTGTTATATGTTTTACATACTGTATTCTTACAGTAAAGTAAGCTACAGAAAAGCTAATGTTATTAAGAAAATTGCAAGGAAAATATATTTACTATTCATTAAGTAGAAGTGGATTATCATAAAGGCCTTCATCCTTACCATCTTTATACTGAGTAAGCTGAGGAGGAGGAAGAAGAAGAGGTGTTGGTCTTGCTGTCTCAGGGGCGGCAGAGGAGGAAGTGGTAGAGGAGGTGGAAAGGAGGTGAGAAAGGCAGACACACTTGGTGTCATTCTGTGGAAATACATCATAATTTTTATCTGACATTTTTCCTTTTCTGTTTCTCTAAAAATGTTTCCTTGTGGCACCAATCCTTCTTCAACCATTTGCTTTAGTTTCAGTGCCCATATCATGGAAGGGTCCATATGATGAAAGAAGTCAAAGACAGTCTTGAACAATTGGAAACCTGCCAGATTTTCTAATGTCAATTAATTTTCTGGCACTGCTTCTTCTACTGTGTCTTCTTCCTCATCATCTAGCACTGGTTTGGAAGCACTCAGCTCCATCAAGTCATCTTTATTAATTCCTCTGGTTTGGTATTTAATTGCTTTTGAATTTCTCTGAGATCCATATCTTGAAACTCTTTATCCATTACTTTTTTTTTTTTTTTTTTGCCATACCCACAATCTCTTTTCATGATTTCCTCAACTGGCTCTGTTGTAATTCTTGTGAAGTCATGCACAGCATCTGGACACAATTTTCTCCAGCAGAAATTTATTGTTCCAGGCTTGGTAACTTTCACAGCTTTTTCTGTAACACTGATGACATCCACAATGGTGTAATTCTTCTAGATTTTCATGATGCTCTCTCCGTTGGGGATTTCTTCCTCAGCACTAACAATCCTTTCCATAGAGTACCATATTTAATAAGCTTTAAAGGTCCTTATGACCCCCTTATCTAGAGGCTAAATTAGCAACATTGTGTGTGGGGGCAAGTAGACCACTTCAACACCTTTAGTGTTGAACTCATAGGGTTCTGAGTGGCCAGAGGCAATGTCCAATATCAAAAGAACTTTAAAAGGCAGTCCATTACTGGCAAGGTGCTTTCTGACTTCAGGGACAAAGCATCAGTGGACCCAATCCAGAAAAAGGGTTCTCATTATCCAGGCCTTCCTATCAACCAAAAGACTGGCAGCTGGTGTTATCTTTTCAAGGCTCAGGGGTTAGCAGGTTTATAGGTAAGGGCAGTTATGATTATAAACCCATCTACATTTCCATAAAACAGTAGAGTTAGCCTGTCCCTTCCCGCCTTAAATTATTGTGCTCACTTCCCTTCCTTATTAATAAATGTCCTTTGTGGCATTTAATTTTTAAATAGGGCAATTTTATCTGCATTAAAAACCCATTCAGGCAAATATCCTTTCTCCTCAATGATTTTTATTTCTTTCTGGTTTTTGTTTTGTTTTGTTTGAGACAGAGTCTAACTCTGTCGCCCAGGCTGGAGTGCAGCGGCGAGATGTCGGCTCACTGCAAGCTCTGCCTCCCGGGTTCACGCCATTCTCCTACCTCGGCCTCCCAAGTAGCTGGGACGATAATTTAAAAAATTACCCGCCACCATGCCCAGATAATTTTTGTTTGTATTTTTAGTATAGATGGGGTTTCACCGTATTAGCCAGGATGATCTCCATTTCCTGACCTTGTGATCTGCCTGCCTTGGCCTCCCAAAGTGCTGGGATTACAGGCGTGAGCCACTGCGCCCGGCCAGTATGAGTACCACATTCATAATGACATAAATTCATCTAGTACTTTGTGACTTATTAAGCATTTTAGCCTCATTTAGATCCTTACAGTACTACCTCAATGTGTAAGGCGAGGCATTTTGTTTTGTTTTGTTTTGAGATGGAGTCTCGCTCTGTCGCCAGGCTGGAGTGCAGTGGCGCGATCTCTTCTCACTGCAACCTCCGCCTCCCCGGTTCAAGCGATTC